AATAACTCTCTTAATAAGTTCTCTGAAACCTGCATGGTTTCTTACCTCAAGCCCTTCATTACCACCCTCATTTTGGAAAGTATGTTGTTGTGCCAAATAAACTCTGATTCTGAGCCCTCTAGTGAAATGTCTGTGAGAGTTCGAAACAAATTTGTCTCTGGCAGTCACTGAAATGAGGGGGAATACATGTACAGCAGGGATTTTCCCTCAAAGCAAAAGATTCCCTCAGGTTTATCAGGTGACTTAAACACTTACCACTATTTCTGACAACTCCCCCCCCCCACTTCAAAACAAAGATTTTCATGTCACCAAACAATGGTCACTTAGAAGGACAGATACTGTGCTAGATCCTAGCACATTTGCACAAATGCTAACCACATCTTACATGACTGCTCAAATAGCTTCAACCAATCTCTGCCTATGAAGCCCTGTCGCTAAGAAGGAAAATGTGCAAGTCATCAGAATGATTAGATGTGCTAACATTATTACATTATTTATTCCCTTTTCATCTCTGCATCATTTTCTAGCACTCAATTCAAATTACTGAGCTCAGAACAGTTGAGCTGGAGGCAATGCAGAATGCAGATAAACATCCTCACTCAGAATCTCCACTACCCAGATTCAGTTCTAGTCGTCCTGCTAGCCTTTGTATGATGTCAGGGACACATGACTTGATGTGTCTAACTTCATATATACCCTCTGTGAAAAGTGAATAAAATGAGAGTAGTGTCCAAGATTATTAGGTTGCTAGGAAAATAAACTATACAATCAGTAAAAAGCTGTTATCGTTATCATCACCTTGAGGAAAAGAAACACTTGTCAATCAAAGGATTTAGTGCTTGCCTGATTATATTTAGTTCCCTGTAATTTACATGAATAAATATTATTAATGCCATCCCACTACTGTAACGACCAAGCAAAGGGACACCAACATCTAATTTGTGCATCTCTATTAAATTAAAATGGGATTACAGCTCAGCAGGGCAGTTTCTGGGCTTATCTGGGCTTATGTCAAATGGGCATTCAATACAAAGCGTGGCACTTGCAACACAAATGTCTATGGACCGTTCTGTTAGGATCAAAGTGTTTCACTAACTTTGGTGTTCACTGGATCTCTAATTAATACTTGTTAAACACCTGCTGTCAATGTGGAACTATTATATGACATTAAGAAAAGTACAATTTAAAAATATAAGTACTTCATTGACATCTGCATAAACAAGGTGGTGTCAATATTGCAAACAAGTATCAACTCCTTTCTGTGTTCCTTTATTCTAGGATTTTATTCATTATATCACATACTATCCAGTCCATGAAAACAAAAAAACTAAAATTCTCATGTCATTTGTTTTCCTTTATCTCCTGGCTATATAAAAGTTCCTTCACATAGGTTTTAAACCAATGCGAATATAAACTTGGTTACAAAGCAGTACTAGGATTTATTCACATGATAGTACTGTGACCAATTTCATTCATCTCCTGAAGCTACAAACTTCAGGCCAGTTTATGAAGATAGTTCATACTTTTCATTAACTTACATTTTCTATGATTACAAGTGGTGGTTATATTTTGAATTCTTAGGAACATGAAATAAACTTTAAAGAAAATTCTTAAGAAACTTTTTTCTATTCTTGAGATTTTTAAATCTAAATGTTCTTTTTAAATATATTGTGTTCACTGGTACAGTAGTGACAGTAACTTATATAGTTATGAAAAGCTGTATTTTCCTTTTGACATTGGCCTTAAGAAGAGTAGAGGTCTATAAACTATCCACATCAATTCTAACAGAAATGGTTGGAAGTTTATAGGTATTTTATAAGTTTTTTTTTGTCTCTTTTTCAAGGGCAAGACTTTGGAGGAAGTATCTGTTTGTAACAACATACAATGTATGTAGTAAACAGCCTATTGCATCACCCCCAACCTTAAAAGCTAAAACATGCAGTCTTATTGGTTAAGCATGTTTACTTTCATGGATTAAATATTAGAATACTAGTACTGTGGCATCACTAGGAAATTGTGAGTCATGATGACCACTCCATAGACTCCACCACTCTTACGACGAGATTAAAGGGAGTCCTCCACCAAGGAAGGATGCATATAGAGAGACTCCTGTGTCCTCTGGGAAACAAACACTCTGTGAGGAAAGGCTTCATACCAGCATTGTCAGCGGTATTTGGAAAACATTTTTAAGCTTTCCAGAGCTCAGCTGATTAGCTCTTTTCTGGTTGAGATAAGAGGATTGCAAGTTCAAGACCAGCCTGACTCCAACGTGAGATGGTAGTTCAAAAGCAACAAAACACAGCAAAAGGCAGAGGCACGGACAAGCTGTACAGAGGAAACAGCTGTGTTTTCCTTGGTTTCTTCTTTATCAAGCAGACAGAAAGACCCAATTTACACCTTCGCTCAGATGCTTACTGGATGAAACTTGACCCTTTCTTAACACCCACCAACCGCAAGCCCCTTCCTGAAATGAGAATTGAGATGCTAAAATTCTTTCCAAGCATGTAACAGGATATCTTCTTTGTGGTGATGGTATGTGAGGGTTCATAAGCAGATCTATTTGATGTTCATTATAACTTTCAGGGCAAAATGGAGGAAATTACTCCTCATTTTTCTAAACAAGTATGCTACCTTTCTCATCTACCAGTATCCATTAGAGACAGTAGGATCTAATGTGTCATCTATAAAGATATAATCTTGAGGAATCAGAATGAACATGCTATAAAATCTTTCCTATGCTCTTTATTAAGAGCATCGTAAGGTCTTATTAAAAGAAAAAAATAAGAGAAGGAAAATATACTCTATATCTAATGATTTAGTTTCCAGTGGAGACAAAGCATATATTGATTTTTAGTTGAAAATGATTAATTGCTATTCAATAAACACATTTTTATTGAGGAGTTTTTTTGTATTATTTGAAATTTGAAAGGCCATGAAGATTTAAAATTATCGATTTTGGGGGGGTTAACTTTGCAAAATGTTTTATATAATTTGGACATTAGCAAGAAAAAATAATTTACAAATGGTAAAAAAATGAGACCCTTATTCCTTAAAAGAAATATATTGAATAGAAGGACAATGCTGGTTATCTTTGATGTCTCACACTCCTCTACTTCACTAAAATACAGAAAGATGCTTAGAAATGCATCTAACATGACACCATCAATAAAATGCAATAGTAAGTGTGATTTTATTGCATCTTTGCAAAAATCCCAAGAAATAGGTATTTAGGTATGCAAAGTCTGCGCAAATGAACTGATTGTTCCTTTGAGAGGGTTCCCTCATGCTTGAAGCCCACATGCTCTTTAAGGCTCATTTTAACCGTCATACCCTCTCACCCATTCCTTCATCTAAAGAATTGTGAGGGCTGAGAAATAAAAACCCTCAAAGCTTGTCTGAGTGTGCTGTTTATGCCACTGGCCCACCCCTCCTCAGAAGGGAAGCAGAAACAGCTAAAGAATGGGGCCATAGGAAGGTGGAGGAGAGACAAGATACCTTAGGCAATGACATAAATCGTTAAGCACTGTTGGAAAGAGCATTTTATAAACTCTAGGCTTGATAACACAGCATCAGCCTGAGTTCCCATTCATTCCAAGAGTTTGTTTGCCACTGTGATCCACAGTGAGAACTCAGAAGCAATGCTAAGAGCAATAGACGTGCTTTTGTTTCAATGTGGTGTGTTTGCTTATACTCCGTTGATTGAACTTCCTCCACGCAATGTTTGATAAACCAGAATCTGTCCTTGTCCAGGTAAAAAGCAGAGTAGAATGTATATTCTAACACTAATGTGGCTTTTTTCCTATTTAAGGTCCCAAAGACTCTCATAATGGTACCATTTTCCAATAGAGCCATTGTTCTTAAATACAGAGTACTGCCTTCACTATGCTTGGAAGGTAAAAAAATTTAATTCCTTCTCTAAAAAAGAGAACTACTTCCTTCCATTGGCTCATTAACCCTTTGACCTTTGAAAAAACATGAATTACTGAATATATTTCTAGTGAAAGATAATTTTCATTTTTTAGCTAGAATCTAGTAGCTTTTATAGCTGTTATAAATTTGAACAGAAATGAAGCATTCCTAAGCATGACAGTGAGTCAATTAGGAAAAAAGTATTTATAAAAACAGCTGTCATTAGTACATTAAAAAGTCGAGTCATTAACATCTTACAAATTTATAGCTAGAGCTCTCAAAATCTAATTAGCTACTTCTTCCATGTTAAATGATGTTAAAAAGACTTTAAATATGAGTATCTGAAGTTATATGACACAAGACATCCATCCTTAAATTCTGCATTTGATGTCATTTCTTTAATCGGTGAAAAGAATCATTATCTTTAATCCCAACCTCTTAGCTTAAACAAATTGACAAACAAATCTCTCAGTCACTTTCCATGTAGGTTTCTCTATGCACACAGCCTGTACCATGACTGCCCCCCTCTCCTCAAAGCATCTGAGAAAGCAGGCTGTGGTAAAGAGGCTCACATACATTTTAAAACAAACACCTCAACTTGAACTTCCTAAACTCATAGCCCCTTGCTCAGGGAGAAATCCAAACATGGCAGGGCAAAAGGCTTTACTAAGGTTATCTTCTTTATTTCAATCATTTAGCATAGAATAAAACCTGTATTTATTTGGATTTTAGTTAGATGTAATCTTTAACAGAAACCATAGGATAACAAAATGAAAAAAAAAAGATCCCAAACCTGAGACCCTGGAATAATTAATTCCAAAAAATAATGTAAAGCAATATAAAGCTAGTACAATGCTAGCATTTCCAAGGAACTTCCTTTTTCATTGACAACCAGCAACAGAACACTGATCTCTTAAACCAAGTCTTCATAAGTGGGATGTATTCTAAGTTCAGATACTCCCATTAGATTCTCAAACACCGTCCTCAGTGCCCTGAGAGAAGATATTTTCTGAGGCACAATCATATTTTGAAACTGCCACATGCATTTAATGCTGCCACGCACAGTGAGTAAACCCGAACCATCCACTTACCTTATGACAAACAAACGGCAAACTGCAGACACTTTTCAGCCTGTAGCTGTCTAGCATAGTGCTTGAGAAATGAACAACAATGCATCTTTCACCCTGTAAAGAGCTGCATCTCCAGACTTGGCTTTCTTCACCAGCGAGAGTGTCTGCTCACCTCCAGGGGAGAGCCAAGCCTCTGCACAGAGCACTTGCTGCTCTGAACTGCAGCGACTTAGAATGAAAGTAAGAGGAACTGGTGATGTTTAAATACCATCCCATTGCTTCAGATTCACAGGATATGACTCAACACTCAAACCAGTCAGGGTAGAGTTTCCCTTTGCAAACTCTTAGTGCAAATTACATAACAAACATCGTCTCTGGGGTCCTAAAATTCTTCTAAGCTAAATATATTTTTAATTTACTTACTCAGTCACACATTTTTAGGAATCAATCTCTTCTCCATGACAAAAGCCACAACCAGAGTGAGAATCACATCACTGCACACATTACTCTCTGCAGTGAGCAGACTAAATATTATTAAAGATGTGTGAGCTTGACAGCATCTCCCAGAGAGAGAGAGAGAGAGAGAGAGAGAGAGAGAGAGAGAGAGAG